ACGACCGGCTCACCGGAACCAAGGACTGCCGAGCTCTGGGCTTGAGTGGAGCATGCTGACCTCATCGAGTGTCAAGGCGCTAACTGCAAGAACAGAGACGTGCCCACTCTGCAGCTTTAGACATAGAAAAGAAGGTGCTTCGGAGCCTCAAAATAGGCTGTGGTGCTGCCTTTGTCTTGCGGGCTTGTTTGTTCAAGACACCCCCTAAAGGGATGCCTTGGCAAACTTGTCTAGAGTACTGAACTGCTTGGTGTGCAGCTGCTCAAAATGATGCTTTCGGCATTGCTGCGCAGGGACGGTAGATCCGGGCTAATGTTTGATGGACATGCAGTGATGTTGGGCTAGTGCGAGTACAAGTGCCTGAATCAGAAGGGACACGAACATCGAAGTAGTTCTGAGTCATTGAAGTCTGGCTGACTGTACATACAATCACTGGTTGGCTTTACAGCATCGTTTGCTTCGGTTGCTCAGGCACTGGATCATGACGCGCTACATGTAAGTTTTGAAGGTTTTTTTCCGCTGCTTGTTTGGACCAACCATGGACGGCTGCAGCTCCCTTGGCCTTAAAGGAGCTTTCAGACTTGTGTCATCAGTTTCATGTCACAAAACTTCGGCACTCCATTTGTTTGCAACCCTGCAACGCCCGATCTCACATCGAAAGTTCAGGATCACTCCGCTTCTGTCCCCTTCCCCGCCCTCTGCGTTGACACTCTTGAGTGCCTCTGCAGTACGGAACATCACCTCTTTGGTAGAAAAAGGCCCACTGCCGGTATCTTGCGAGGCGAGCGGCCAGGGCAAGCTCCCTGCCGATGCAGTCAAGCCGTCCCGCAGGAGCCTTTTGCCTCGCGGCGTCGCTTCAGGAAATCAACTTCGAGGCTTCGGCGTGCTGGTGCGTTGATGGGGATGTCGGGGATTCGGTTCTTGGACGCGGATAAGCCAAGATGTGACTCGGAGTTTTGAAGCCCAAGCTGCCGCTCGGAGCACAGACACTAAAGCAGGCAGCCTCAGCATAAAACAAAACGTTTCCCCAGCACCGCCTGGAGTTGATTGGCCGGCTTGCTGTTGCACATGCCGGCTGGCAGGTGACCTCAGCTGCTCCACACACGGGAGTGACACGTGAAGCTCTCAACCTCCTGAATCCTGAAACCCCCCAAGCGTTGCGAAGTTGGGCGCGACAGAACTAGCTCTGGCTTGGCTACCAGCCCCACGGCATAGCTAAGAAAGTGTTCCATGCAACTTATCAGTTTTAAACGAAACCTTTCGTCTTTGCCTGTCTATGCAACCGCAGAAGGAGAACGCCGCTGCTCGACAGGATAGTAGCGCTTACAAGATAGTGCGCGTAACTTAAGCTTCAAAAGAGCAACATGTCGCAGCTGCCGGCCGCTGTTGCTCTTGTTGCGGCTTCTGATGATGATGATGCTGCTGCTGCTGCTGCTGCTGTTTTGATGCTGGTGTGCTCGAGCTTGTGATGTTGATGTTGATGTTCATGGTGTTGTCGTTGTTGTTGTTGTTGTTGTTGTTGTTGTTGTTGTTGTTGTTTTTGTTGTTGTTGTTGCTGTGGCTGTTTTTGCTGGTGTTGTTGATGTTGCTGTTTGCTGTTTGCTGTTTGCTGTTTGCTGTTTGCTGTTTGCTGTTTGCTGTTTGCTGTTTGCTGTTGCTGTTGCTGTTGCTGTTGCTGTTGCTGTTGAGGTTGCTGTTGCTGTGGCTGTGGCTGTTGGTGGTGGTGGTGGTGCTGCTGCTGCTGCTGCTCCTGCTCTGCTTCTGTAGCGTGACAGTAGTCGTTTCGTAGTCGTCGTAGCAGTGATGGCAGCAGCAGCAGCAGCAGTAGCTGCAGCAACAGCAGCTGCAGGCCAGTAGCAGCTGCAGTCGTGGTAGTAGTAGTAGTAGTAGTAGTAGTAGTAGTAGTAAAAGGGTCGAGCTGTACGACTTTGGCTTGAACCGAACAGTTGAGTTGCAGCTTAGAGCGGCTGAGTTGTCGAATGCACGCTCAAATGACAATCCAGAACGTCCGTGAACAACGTTGAACGCCTCTGAGCCCAATGCGTTTGCTTCCCGTCTCTTGCTTTGCAGATGACATGCCAGAGAACAAGCCCAAATCAGCTTGCCGCGACTTGCCAGGTAGTGGTCGTACTAGCAGTAGTCGTAGTCGTCGTAGTAATAGCAGCAGCAGTAGCAGTCGCCGTCGCAGTCCCAGTCGCAGGACGAGTAGGGCAGTTATTGTGGTCGTCGCAGTCGTAGTCGTACTGGTGGGAGTGGCAGCAGTGGTAGTTGTGGGGTGGTAGTGGTAGGAGCAGCAGCAGCGGCAGCGGCAGCGGCAGCGGCAGCGGCAGCGGCAGCGGCAGCGGCAGCGGCAGCGGCAGCGGCAGCAGCAGCAGCGGCAGCAGCAGCAGCAGCAAAATCAGCAGGAGTAGTGCCAGCAGTAGCTTCAGGTGTTGTGGGTAGTGGTGTTGCCGGTGGCGGCACTGGTGGTTGCAACCGTCCATGCTCATCAGAGCGATCGTGACTATCACTGCATCGCTCTCCGTGCACTTCTTGCTGCTGCTGCTGCGACCTCTAGGAACACTATCACTCCAGAACGGAAGATCGCTCGAACGAAGTTGCGATCGTCATGCAACTGTTTATGCTGTGGCATGGGAAAACAATCGACTGACTGGTCAGCCTTGCCCCAACTTGACCACGGTGATTAGTGCACGTGATAGCAGAACGAATGCAAGCGTCATCGCGACACCTACTGATGCAACCACCGCCGGCGCCGTCGCCACCACCTTACTCGCCTGCTCGCAGCCCTTAAAATTCAAACTCCTGGGCACTCTACAGCAGGTCGATTGGCGGCGTCCGAAGCAACACCTGCCATTCCACAGATAGGCTCATGGATTCGGTGCATCATAACAACACAACGAAAGGCTCGACTGTGATGATGCTGCCGAAATTGCTGTACCCACATGGAGCTGGGCTGCACTGCAAGCACATGGACATGAAACAAGACCTGTAACGCTCTGACCCGCACAGCCCCACTTGGTCGCAGCCTGCTGACATGATGAGACAACCGCAGCTCTCCTTCTTCTGCAGACGTTACCAGAACGATATTCTCATAGATCCTGCAAGAGAATAGCGTGGCATCTGACTTCCTTCAAGCCAGGTCGGAACGGCCCCGAGACCAGGTCCGCGCTTAGGCGCGTGGGCCAGCGAGGTGGCGCTCCTGATTCGGCCCAATACTTCGATCGATTGCATGACTATGATTATTATTCTGATTATTATTATTATTATGATTATTATTATGATTATTATTATGATTATTATTATGATTATTATTATGATTATTGTGACTTGTGTGATTATTGTGACTATTGTGATTATTATAATTCCTATTACTATTGTTACCGACTCGAGAACACAAAGCTTTGTTGCGGTGGATACGTGACGAACTGCCACGACGCTCAGGACAGACTGCGCTTCTTCAGAACCCCATCCTGAGCTTTGAATTCTAAGCCCAAGGACTTGTGCAAGACACTAGTCCATCATACATCGTTCTGCACTCTGGGCCAAAAGCCTGGAGGTCTGCTGCGACCGCGGTCGCTCTTTCCCCGGCACCATCCGACGAGCTATCTAAACCTCGGCCACGGGTCCACAGTCCAATTTGTATATACGTTCCTAAACTCTGAAAACTCAGCCTTCGGGCACCTGCACTGGAGAGGCAACTTGCAAGAAGAACTCAAGTCTAGCTTCAAGAGCCCGAAACAAAAGATAAATACAAAGAAACAGAAACGACAGAAAACACAAAAACAAGAGGAACACGTGGGCGCGGGAGGTAGTTTGCTTGTGCTTGCTTGTTGGTGTGTTTCATGATTGAAACGTTCTATTTGTGCGCTTTTGCTTTCATGTTGTTATTATTTTGTTATGATTCCATCTTTAGACATACATGTGTGTGTGTGCGCTTGTTTTTTTGTAGATTTAATGCTTGTACGTGCGTCTTGCTGTTTTTCCTTGGAAAAACAAACAAAGAGCACATAACACAACAAATAAACCGCAACCAAAACCCAGCATCTGGGGCGGGTGCTGCTTTTTTGCGGCTTTTGTTTGTGTGTTGTGCTGTTGTCGCTTGTTTGCTTCGCTCCTGGGCTGGTTTACATATTCATATTTGATGTTGTGTTTTATTTGCTCTGTTATTGTTTTTGTTCTCGTTTCATATATCGCAGTAACTCCATGATATGCTCTCTTAAGTCTAGTGGAGGCGTCTGTCTCGATTCTGGGGTAGTGGTGTGGAAGCCCAGCCGTTTGTTGGAATCTTCACCCAGGGGCGAAGACATCGCTTGAGGAGGTTCGTAGGCCACGGGACGGAGAAGCAAGAACCAAGGGACGTTACATGGTGGCATCGTCGTATACTTCCGGCGGATGCTTCCTATCCAGGGCCGGCCTTTTTGTGCCACGACAATCTGAACAAATTTGCAAGCATTTCTCAACACAGTTAGCTCCCCAGACCTGTAAATTGCATCTGTGCTGGGAGCCGCACTCGCCAAGTGGAGACCAGGGAGCATCGCAGCAGCACAGCAGATAAAGTAATGTCATTCTTGAGGACCGCGTGGGGTTTCGGGTGTGGCTTTCGGTGGTGTTCACGACTGTAAGGCTTTATGTCTGAGACAGTTCACTGAGGGTGGAAGTGGGAAGACTTGGAATTCGATTTTCCGTCTTGCAAGTATGCCTATGCTCGTTTGCTTGGCATTCTCGAAAAAGATATGCACCTCACATACGTCCATGGAATGCTGGACATGTATATAGTCTTGAACCGAGCGAGATCACCGGCCGAAACAGATCAACAGGCCAAGCACACTCTATGACACAGAGACCGCATTTGCCCTTCATGTTCAACCCGCAAAAACTTGGAGTCCTGAAATCTGTACAACTTAGTATGATGTCATTAATTTCACCGCCCTGACCTCGTCATTAAATCTCCTTAATTTCATGTTCTATTGAAATCCACACTCGACCCTTCGAACCGGAGCCTGGTGGGTGCGTCCCGAGCGCTCGAGACGACAGGCCTGATCGGTCGAAGACCGAAACCAGGGAGTCTCAGTCCCGTGGCATTCGACTCCACATGCAACACACAGCCTTTACAAACGGGCTGCTGGGCTGAAAGCCGCTTTTAAACTCAGCCTGCCGCAGATACGATCCCTGCTTCTTCTTGGAACTATTGCGAAGCTGTTGCTGTTCTGCTGCCGACTGTCTTCTGCTTACGCATGGAAAGTTCTGTCCTTGCCACAGTTGTCGCAAGGTGGATTGAACACGGCTGGTGGTGTGAACATGAGGGCTTTGTTCCCATTGCACCAACCAGAACGATCGTTGTGGCTGTGACTGTGATTGCTGCGGTCCGTGGGACTTGCTGCTCGGCTGTCCATATACTGTCGGCACCAACTTATGGCAATTTTGATTGTCCTAGTTGCTGCTGCTGCTGCTTTTCTGGATGCCGTCGTTGCAGATGTTGGGGTAGTTGATGTTCTCGTAATTTGTAACAACCTACACCGCACTCAAAGGCAGCTATACTTCCAAACACCACATTATGTGCTAGATTTGCCATGCTATTACCTGTTCAGAGAAAAGGGGTCTGGAAACAACACTGGACAACCAAACTCTGGCTGCAGGTCGCGCCAGAAGCAAAGCCCCATCCGCGCCAGTGGCTAGAACCTGGGCCATAGGAAAACACGGTGGTATCTTCTCTGACGCCCTCGTTATGATTCGTTATGTCACTTTGATTCACTTTGTCTACATAGATTTACATGCTTGTAGACGCAAGGCATCCGTAACAATCCGTAACGCACAGTATGGAGCTCTACTGCAATGGGATTTTCAGGCAGACAACATTGAACACGCCTGTGTGTGTTCATATAAATTGAAGCTAAACAGACGAGGCAAGGTGCTAATGCATCATTCAGAAAGGTGTGGCACGAAATCGCATTCGTTGCGCAGAAACACACCTAAAGTATCGAGCACAGCGCTTAAATGTACCCTTCGCCAGTTTCAACATGGAATTGGGCTCCAGTTCCAGATATGATCGCAGAGCTGCCGACAGGAGTGACAGACTTCTGTATTTTGGAAACTCCAATAACCCCAATGACGCAAGAAACCCACCATGAACACCAGCACAAGATCCGCCGGATGGGTTTTCCGAGTTCGAAACGAAATCCAAAGTCGCAAGCCAAGAAATCAATACCCGGACTGCCAAGCCTCGAAACGTGTTGCCGCAGACTGGCCCTCTTCCAGGTTGATCGCTCGGCGGACAGGGTCGTCCCTGGATCGGGACGTCGAGCCGATCTAGGGCATGTGCAAACCCAGCTCTGGCATTCGGAGATCCCAATGGAAATCATAACGGGAGCAACTTGTCAAGCTAGATGCCACCGAGGAGTCAGAAACTTGTAATGGAGTGTAGATCTTCAAACTTATGCTATGCCCTGCTCGCAAACTCCGTGCCCTGAACACCTCCATAATCTGCAGTGCCTAAGTTGAACTGATCATCTGCTACAATCTCTGTGTGAAGCCCCAAAATGAAACTCCGTAAACTACACGACTGCTCCCAACCCCTGTGCACGGCAATTAGCCATAAAGCATGAGAGTTCACGCTAGCCATCGTAAAAGGCGATCTCATGTGTGCAACTACATGGAGCTGGCAAGGGCTGGGTGCAGAGTAAACACATGTGCAAGCTGGGCTCCCTGGCGATTGCCGGTCGGGACCAATCGGAACATCGACCACCTGACCAAATCATCTACTGTTCAAGAGTTGACACTCCGTGGCAGTTAGAACAACTTCTGACCCTTTCCCATGACTCTGCCAGCACGCGTAGAAGACTCGGCTTTTGTTTTTCTCTGCCGGTTGCCACGCAAAGTCTGCCGCCAAGAGGATGTGGTCCTGGCACAGCTTGGGCGAGGCAAGATCCGACAAAAGCCAGATTCTGGCTTTTGGGTTTAGGGTTTTGGGTAGTTTAGGGTTTAGGTCTGAGAACAGCGCAAAGATTCTTCCAGGTGATGCCAACATGTTCCGGGGATTCGATGAAAACAGCTGGGAGGTGTATCGGCTCTTTTCAGTGGAGCAATGCGGAGAACAGAACAGAGCATGAAATGTCTACTGGACAAAGTCACTGGCACTGGATGTCACTGGCATAAGACACTTATTTGAAACAGTGCAACTCCCTAACCCCCCAGGTACCTACTATATAGGGGACTAGAGCCCCTAGGGCCCTATATAGTAGGTACCTGGGGGGTTAGGGATACACTTGTTTAAAACAGATCAACTGCCAATCATGCTTACTTCTGCTTGCCATGTCGGCATTCCGTGGACTTCCAAGCGAGGCAGCGTCACGCTGGGGAAGACGCTCGAGGGTAAGGCGGTCTCGGCTTCGAGGTCCTCCGCAAGCTTGCAAGGAAGAAGCACGCTACAGGGGCATTATATTTCTATACATTACATATTGTACATTACATATATTCTATAGTATATATGTGTATTATATATATATATATATTATATTCATTATTTACTATGTACTTACTAGTATGTTTCTCCGCGTCCTCCCTTGGCGGAACGGCGGCCTCGGAGACCTGGCAAAAGCGCTCTCAGCCGAGAATGCTCCGGGCTCTCTGACCGAGGAAGGTAGTTCTCTAAATTAGGGTCCCTTTTGGGGTCCTTTTAGGGTTCCTTGAAAGGGATCTATAAAGGTTTCTATAAGGGTTCTAAAGGGGTAGTTCTCTGAATTAAGGTCCCTGTCAGGGTCCCTTTTCTAAGGATGCAGTACTATAGGGGACCTAAAAAGGGACCCGTTAGAGAACAACCCATGAAGGAGTGCGCCCTGTCGAAGACAGGCCGAGACACCTTCCGGGCCCTTGTCAAAGAATTTACCTCGACCTTCGATCTACCCTCTATCAGACCCTAAAAAAGCCCTAAATACCCGTTATTTGGGATTATAGAGCCCTATTTGAGGGTACGAAGGCGGGTCCTGGTAATTTTTACTTAAGTTACCACAATAGATGATCTATAGTAAATAGTCTGGTTTCCTTTTTTAGTAATTAGCTTAAATTAGATCCCGCAACAAGATACGAGCCCAGCCTTGTGAAAGTGGTCTCCCTCAAAGAAGATCCAGTCCTTGCTGCAGCTGCGGCTATGGGCATGGACAACCCATGTGGGTGGTTGTCAATATTATGGTCCCTTTTTGGGTCCTTATTACAATACGGCACCTATTATTTAGGGTACCCCCAAAGGGACCATAATTTTGACAACAACCCATGTCTTTGTCCAGAGGCATGCAAAGCTAACAACTGCCCAACGGCTCCCCAGAGTTCTGAACAACTTATCGTAGATCTTGGATACGCAATCTCAGAGGCTCAGTGCCAGGGCCTAACTAACCCGGGCAGCCGGAAGCACTAAAAAACCCTCACACCCCAACCCTTGACGGTAAGGCTTTCCCGAATCGCTCATGCTGCTGAAGTCTTAAGTCCCAGAAGCCCTTGTACCTAGCCTTGAAACCAACAGGCTGACACCCCGAGTCCCGAAGTTCCCAGCGTTGACACCCGAGAAGCCCTGAATTCACTAGTAACGCCTGAAACTGTCCTGCCTGAAACCTTCTGCCGCACAAGCCCCGTAAAGCCTGATCCACCCCGGAGACCGGGAAGCACCACCGGGTAATCTGAGTGCGCTGCAAGGCAGGCCTCGTAGTTGCCTGCAAGAGACTACTCTTCCGGCTAGGATCTGAACCTAAAGGCTCCGGTTCACCGGCTTGAGCTTCAGCTGGAGCTTAAGGTCTGGCGTCTCTGGGCCTGAGCTGTGGGGCTGCAGGGTGTGCAGCCTCACGAGGGTCTAAAACTTTCCAGAAGCCTGGGATGTTGCAGTTCTGGACTCTGCGGGTTGGGGCTTTCTCAGCTTGCGTCCGAGTCAAGGTCATGATGGGGACAGCGACGGCGAGCTCGAAGCGCGCTTTGTGCTGCAGCCACAACAACCGCGGCTTGATGTCGCTGCTGAGGTCGCGACCCACGAAGTTTGTGAACTCAGGGGCCGGATCGTAGGTAGAGAGCAGCCTGAAAGGAGACTCCAGCTGCAGCCCGATACCTGCCGGAAGATAGGTGGCTTTGGCAGACGTGTAGGCCCAATGTAGTCTTCAAACAGTGACGAATTTCCTGAATTCGGAAGTCGGAATGGATGATTAGATTGCTGCGCCACAAGGAACAGACTTGAATAGCGGGCGAGTCATGCAGATAAACGAGTAGACGTTGTTTGAAGTGCGCAGTAAGAGGCAGACACTCTAAAATCTTCAGGCTCCTCCTCCAGGGCCTGATGAATGAATGACCATGAATCACACCTGCTTCTACGACAAGATGTGCATCCTTTCCGGCAAACCCTGCTTCCCCAGAACCCACCAAGCACCTACAACCTACGTTCCCCTATCCGTCCCTCTGCGACGCCTGCCAGCGCTGCGCCCGTGCTGCCTCCCAGCTCTGCTTCGGAGAGAGCCTGTGGAGCTCGGGCAGGGAGGGCCGGGCCCTGATTTGCTTTAGATTCAAGGTGTAGGCGAACATGGTCTTGCAAAGAGGGTTTGTATTATAAAAGCCCTCTTTGTAGGTGTAAAAAGATATCGTGGAGTGGGGACTTGGAACTTCTGGTGCAGAACACTGGGAATTGGGTGGAATAGGTAGGTGCTGGTAGTTGTTCTTCCCGAACCTCCATAACCGTACACATCCCAAAACTCAAAAACAACCGTTGCCTAAGTTGTCGTGTTTGAAATGCCTGCCATTAGCAGCCGAGGTTTCCAGAATTCGGACTAAGAGCCGCTGGCAAGGGCAACGATAGAAATTGCATGGTCGGAAGACTGATAAAAAGGAGCAAAGGTAAGCATGTTAAAACTAAGGTTAGTGGGTTGGCGTTGAATCTTGAAGGTCTCTAAACCCTATAAGGGGGTGATTGAGGTCTTGGATCTCGGAATTCCAGTTTCTATCTGCGCCAGCGGAATCTATACCTTCGTCGTGGGGCGGACACTGCGTTTGACACGAGAGCGCGCTTGCAGTGGGCTTTGACTTGTTTACGTCTTGCTCATCAGAAGTTAGTGCAGATACCCGGTTTGAAGACCTCTTGATCCCCGTCACCACTGGACCTCCAAATAGGTGACTTTCGCAGTTTGTGCAGTGAAGAGCCAGGCCGATTTGGTGTTCGAAATCGCTCCCAGAAGGTATACGATGCACCCGATGGAAACGCAGGCCAGAATAAACATACACTAGTGTCACTAGTGCAGGCGTGATGGATGTATCCTCGCGCCTTCTGTGTGGCGATAGCATTCTTCACCTTCTGGCTGACTGCCTCACGCACACAAAATGAAAGCAACTACAACTTGTTTAAGTGAGGCCTGCTCAGTCTGTGCACATTTTGCTGCAGCTGTCTCAACTCCATTGCCTTCTGGAGAGTGTGCACACGAAAACCACCAGTCTGGGGCAGGCACAGCAGTCAGCTCATCCGTGGCCGCCATGACCTTAGGTGAACACCGATGTGCAGCATTTCAGCCCATATCAATAAACATGGACAGATATACCGAAACATCCAAATCGAGCTTCGAGAAGTGCAGTGCAGCTTGTGTTATGAATGGAGAGGCTCGAAGTGAACACACCGCAGTCGCCATCATCGTCGTCGCTAAGATCATCACCTTCATATGACCTACAATGCAGCAACGTGGAGATAACGTGTCCTTTAGACCTGAGACGCCCTGAAGCAAACTTTGATTCAACCTGTGGGGCTTTGGGCCTTAGAATCTGAGCTCGAAGCCCTCTCCAACTGCTCCTCGCTGAATTCGAGGACCTGCTGAAATTTGCCGTAGCAAAATCCTTCACGATCACGTTTAGCATGGAATTTCGCGGCTATCACAGAAACTGGCATGATGTAGCTGACTACACGCACTGAAGTATCTTGTGAGATAGCAGTCAGACTTCTGCCCAGCTACAGTATTTAGCGGGACCTTTGCTACGGACCTTGTGACATTCAATCGCCTTCTTAGGCGGTTCTGTAAATCGGTGGGGAGCCTGTCATACTTTTGCTCTTTGCTATATCAGCTCACTGTTCCAGCAGTACATGATGCCCTGCCATGTTGGCTTGTTCTCTACTCCACCACAGACTACCTTAAACCCTGTTAGATATCGACAACCTGAAGCTCCACGACCACAAATCCAAACAGCAAGACACACCTCCCTCACACGGCGCATCCCCGATGCTATAAACCCCAAAACCCTAAACCCAAAAAAAAACACGAAAGCGCACCCTTAACGCGAAATCGCACGCCTAAAGCCCGAATCCCTCAACGATAAGCCGGTTACAGAACCATATATATTATATGGTATATAGTTATACATTATATAGTCATATATCAAATAGTTATTTATGATATAATTATATGTTCTAAAGTTATATATTATATAATTATATAGTTAGTATATAATCGTACATTAAATAACTATATAATATGATTATATCTTCTATAACTATATACTATATAATTATATACTATATATTTATATATGTTATAATTATATATTGTATAACTATATATTATACAATTATATATCATATATCTGTATATTATATAGTTATATACTATATGCCTATATGTTATATAATTATATAGGATATTAAATATTATATATTATATATCCACCCCGCCGGCTCGTTGCTCAACCGGAGGTCCAGCGCAAGCTGAGCAGTGGCAACAAGGGCCTATGAGCAGAAGA